TAGTTTTTCTCAAATGAAGCGGTGAAATGATCACGAAGTGACTTTCAGAGTGGATCTAGAGCCTGGAGAGGACGTTCATGCATTTGTGTCTTCATATTAGGGCTGTCAAAATTGCTCAAAAATGACGTTCGAATATTCCCTCTAAAAAAAACACATATATTCGAACTATTCGAATATCTGGTTGCGCATTACGTCAATAACAGGACAAATTAATACAAAGAGACACAACTACTTGTATAGGTAGTTTATTTAAGTTTAAACATATTTGACAACGTATTAACTTACACAAAGCCAAGTAAATCAACTAATGGCCAAGACCGCAGACCTTACTCTCGCTCGCACTCACAGGCACTCTCTCGCTCTCTCTCTCGCCCTCACGCTCTCTGCGCATAACGGTTTAAATGAACAACAATAAACAAATGTTGAGTGCTGATCAAGAGTTTTGTGCAAGCAATTTAAGGTTGCAACTCTTGTCCTAAATATAGCAGGCTTCATTCGGTGATTGAAACAAATATTATTAACATTAATTGAAGTTTTACAGTATATAGAACCGACATTGAACGCTCCGAGCGAGCTGTGCTGTGGTAAACTCATGGGTAAACTGCTGCTAGCTAGCCTGCTACTATGGCTATTTCGAGGGTGTCTGGCCACGCCCCCTTGGCGGGCTCTGACGTGTCTGATGTAATGCTAGCTCATTGGCGCACACGTTGGAGGCGTCCGTGCCATTGGATGTGCAGTTGCCGCAGCACAGCCAATGAGTGAGCCAGACACTCACTGTGCTAGCTGTGCAGCTGGAAAATGCGTTTTATTTAAGCTTCAGAATTTTGCCACTCGCAAAGCAGACAGCCCCGCCTCTGCTACCGCGCGCGTGTTTTTCCACATGATTCGAATATTAATTTTCACCTTCGAATTTCTGTTTTTTAAAACTATTCGAATATATATTCGAATTTAGAATATACGTTGACAGCCCTACTTCATATAGGCCAAAAAACAGCGCAAGCGTCACACGTGCTTCAGTGTGTGTGTGTGTGTGTGTGTGTGTGTGTGTGTGTGTGTGTGGTAAATGAAACTGCGCGTCGGCGGCACCATTCATTCACACAGAACATGCAGGACTTGTATTTAAATAGTCTTTGTGTTTTAATATCCACACACACTAGTCTACATCGCGATTTGATTTCAAGTGTACTGAACTGCTTTCTATTTTTTCCTCAAATTTACAAATTCCGTGAAATTCCGCGTTATACACTAAATTCCTTTTTTATGACTGGATTTCGTCAGCATTTCAGGGGGGGGCGGGCCTACCATTTCCCTAAACAATGGTAGGGGAAACACTGTAGTTCTGATTTTTTCCCCTCCCGTTTATCTACAGCTCAGATCTAGAATTCTGAAGTGAAATAAAGTAGCGCTGTAATAATTTTGTTATGAATTAACCAGAGAAAGAGAGAGAGAGAGAGAGAGAGAGAGAGAGAGAGAGAGAGAGAGAGAGAGAGAGAGAGAGAGAGAGAGAGAGAGAGAGAGAGAGAGAGAGAGAGAGAGAGAGAGAGAGAGAGAGAGAGAGAGTAACTTCCTGGGAAACCGAAGTTTAACCAAACTTGCGATCTTAAAGAGGCCGGCGGGTCCTCTAACTCTTGTGGGTCGCCACCACTCGCCATACTCGTCCTTAGTGCTGCTATCTCTGACTCACTCACTGGACCGTCGTCGACCTGACAAAAAACTGCACATAGGCGGAGCTCGCCTAGGCGGGGCTACAGATTATGTGTCCCTAAAGAACCCGTGTATCCAACGGTAGTTCCGCATTACATTAATTAATTTGCACGCGAGTTTTATTTATTTTTATACCGTGTATTCTCCGTGTAAATTCATGCACCGAACCATGACGCCCGTACCGTTTCGGTTCAATACGAATACATGTACCGTTACACCCCTATTGAACATTAACAATTTGAGAACAAAGTATAATTTGCACGGTTTTACGTGATATGATAAGCGATTGTTAGATTTAATCAGCGTGATTTACTGCAATGATTTTTTTCCCTTAGTTGGTCAGAACCAGAACAAAAGTGAATGTTACTTACTTGTTCAGATGACATTTTCCAGTGAAAATTATTATGTTGGTCATACTTCCAAAAGGAATAATCTGTGATTCTGAATGCCAGTATCCACACCGCACGGTGACTGACAGGCGCACACTCTCCAAATGCAAATGAATTGGCTGTGCCGTGCCGAGGCACAACTCACGTAAAGTTGATAATTCCGCGAATGACTGCAATTGCTGATTTCAAACAGAGATGGCTTCAAAGAGGAAAAACTACAGACTGTAGCTTTAAGTAAACAAATAAAATAAGCAAAATAAATAAACAAAAACTTTGTAGGTGCCAGAAATGGAGCTAAACTTGTATTTAACCCAAAATATTCCCTTAATGAATTTGAAGGTTAGCTGTGAAACCTAAGACTGAAGAACTAAAATGTTTAAATTAGGAAAAGCAGTTCAATTACCCAGAAGTAGAAACATCAAATTACCATCTCAAAAGCTCTGCATAACACTGGCACGTATCTGAGGGTGACACAAAAGCAGCCATTACTCTAAAGAAGCCATGCAAAGCACGTCCTAAGTTAGCTTCAAATGCCCATGTGCTCCAGCTGTGACGCAATAAAAGATTTTGTGGTCAGATGACAAGATGATTGAACTTTTCCAAAGCACATGTAAAGCACAACACACAAACATAACACCATGCCTTCAGGGAAGTATGGTGCTGTGGGGATCCTTTTCATCAAGCTTTCATTGCTGCAAAGGATTCAACAAATATTAAAACGTGGGGATAAATCAAAACCTGAAATATGCAACAGATTTTAATTTAGTGTTTTTGTAAAATACTTTCTAATATAAAACAATGAATAAAAAAAAAAGAGTTTTGAAATAATAACACTTGTAATGTAATTCAGTTGAAATAAAGAATTGATTACGTTTCTGAGAACGAGTGCAACATGCACCACTAGGGTTGAGCGATTTTCCCGATTTTTTCAATTAATTCGAATGTAATGTTTTGCCACGATTTTATATTTTTAAATCCAGAAATCGCAGTTTTGAATAAAAATGTTAGCAAACGTTACAATTAGATATTCTGACAATACGGCAATGATAACAGTTAAGAGAAGAAAATCTTAAGCAGCTGTTATGCGATATTGAAAAAATGGAAAAAAACAAGATGCGGGCAGTGGAATGGGAAAAAAGCTAAGTTCTTAGACGCAAGTTGCAGATACGTGCCGCGTTTTTAGTAAGCCGTTTCATGGGTGAGACGCTGCAAAAGATGCGAGACGAGTGCAACAGCCAAACACTTCCGCCAACCATAAAAACAATAGAAAAGCAGCGCAATGGAATGCAAAAACATGTAAAGAAAATAACAGGACCTTTTAGGTTGAAGTTAACAGGCTGAAAGGTGCGGTTATTGTCTATTTTTACAACATATTTGCTGTTAATAATAGCCTATTACTGTTTTTAAACTTTGTCATTTTTTTATTATTATTTAGTAAAAGGATATGTTTAAAGTAAGTTTGTACAATATTTGCATTCTTAACTCCTGCATAATTTCTGCAAAGATACTTAACTAAGTAATTTGTTTTACATTTACACCATGTTGATCACTTCAGGTGTAGTGCACTTGGAATATAACTGTTTTAAACAGATGTTAATAAAGAGAATGTTACTTAAATTATATTGCAGTTACGTTTTTAAGTTAAAGCTGCAGTCCGTAGCTTTTTCCCTTTTTGTCGCCATCTCTGCTCGAAATCTGTAACTGCAGTGATTCGCGGAATTATCATCTTTACGTGGGTTGTAAATCGGCATGAAACAGCGCGGATGAACACAGTGTTTTGAGGCGAGTGGTGCTGTCAATCACCGCGCTGTGTGGATACTGTCATTCAGAATCACAGATTCACTTTTTGAAAGCTTGACCAACATAAGAATTTTCACCGGAAAATGTCTTCTGAACAAGTAACATCCATTTTTGTTCTGATCAACTAAGGGGGGAAAAGCATTCGACATGACAAGCGATCGTTAGATTTAATCAGCGCGATTTACAGCAGCCGTGCAAATCATAGCCTACTTTGTTCTCAAATTGTTCATGTTAACAACATCAGCATTGCGTGACTAACGTTATTTAATGTGTTTTATGATTACCTGTGTAGTTCAGAATTCATATTCTCCATAATAGCTAACGTTAAACGAGAAAGGCACAACAAAGGAAACTCCATAACTGTGTGAATTAAGAAAACGTACTGTTACACGATTGAACTATTGAAATGTCTTACTTGTTCAGCAGAAAAAGCTGTCTCTTCTTCCGTTTCGAACTCTTCGGGAGTTCACGCACCTTTCAAAAGCCCCACCGATGTGTATCCTTGTGTTCGCATGAGACGGTTTCTTTCTCTTTCCACTTTAAATCCGAAGTACGAAGTCTTTTGGGTTTTATAACTGGTTAATCTCCAGTTGACACTGATGATTGTTGTCTGGATCTTTCTGGATCCGCCATAAGTTTAATCATATAAAGTGCTGCGAGAAAAGCCTATCTCTACATCTCCTCACGTGCAGTATAGCCGGCTAGCCGAAACTCCTTCTTTATGTTTACGGGTGTGACGTAATGACGCAAAGACATGCTCGAATTTCCCGCGAAAACCCACCAGTACCACTGGAATTAAAATCATTATTACAAGCTAACCGTTTTGAATCTAGCTATGGCAAGCAGATAGTTTTGAACACTGGCTGAAGATGTTTTGTTTTTTTTATAATTAATTTGGATTATTTTTAACTTAAAAAAGTTACGGACAGCAGCTTTAAACATAAAAAAAAATCAAATTAAAAAAAATCATGAATTGATCAATAGTTCTCTAAAAAAAAAAAAGAGATACATTTTTTTTGCCATGTCACCCAGCCCTACGGAGCAGTGCTTTCACAACTGTGTCAAGTGGTTGTGCATGTGTAGGTGTAGATCCTCACTGCTCCTTACCCTCGATAGGTGAGGTCTTGAGCCTGCGGCAGATTCCTTGCACGTCTCCGTAGCATTCTGCAATCTTGTTGACCGCATCGCCACTGCGGAGCTCCATCAGGTCACGGAGATGCGTTGTCGTGCAGCCAAAGTCCCCATCGTGGTCAACCTCGGTGACCGAGTTACCCGGTGGGTGGTCTGCAGTGTTGTTAGCCATTTTGAGTTTCAGTCACGGCTCACGATGTGGGACTTTCAATCTATCAGCTTGTAAACGTAAGACTGAGTGATGAAGGAATGCTTCAGGTAGGTGATACAATATTCCCAAGTTCAAGGGGTCTTGCTGTGCGAGATGTACCACAGAGAAACTGGAACAGAATGAGACAGACAGGTTTTAAATTATTTCATAAATTAACTGAAAAATGGCCTAATTTTAATGGCTGATTATTTAATTTTCATTGATTGAAATTAATTTTGATTGATTTAATTTTTTAATGGCTAAAAGTTTGAACATTTTGTGACAGAACAGACAGGAAATGTTGACACCATCTAAATGACTTGGAACACTTGTGCTTGTGAATGAAGCATCATGTTGTGATAAAATGGTGGGAAAAAGACTAAATGTTATGAAATATTTTTATATGTTATGATTTTTTTTCTTTCACACAGCAGTTCACACAAACTTCCTCATGCGCTTGAACACTCACAATATACAGATGCAACACATACAATGTACCAAATTTGCACATCTAATGGGAATCTCCATCTCAGATCCAGTTTCTACCCTTCACAGTCATACATAAATAAATTAACTCCTGGAGAAATCTATAGTTTGGGAGCAAATAAAACTGTTAACTGTTTTGTCACCAGTCTCCAAGCCCACAGAAGGGGGTGGGAGGAAAACAGAGGTAGAAAGAGAGGGCACTGGGTTCTAAATAAGCTGGCAGTTACAAAAAAAAAACTGGCAATATCAGAGATAAGGGGATCTGTGTTACTGTGAGATACAGGAGCTTCCAACTCTGTCGGGTTTTCTTATGCACACAGAATATGAAAAATAGAGGTCACTCTTTGATGTGTGCTAGCAGTGATCCGAGATGAAATTTTGGACTGGGATTCATCTACCAGCGCTACGGCCAATTTGCCACTATCACACTTGTACAGTCAGTGATGGTAGCCATAAAAAGTAAAGCGCTGGATGTTGGAAAGCCCTGAGGTGGATTTTAACCCAGATTGGATTACTGTCCACTCCTTCAGCGTCAGTCAAGCTTTAGCCTCACTGTACACTGCATTGACCTCTTAACCTCAGAAGAGATATCAGACCAGGGTGGTTTTATTCTGAGCAAAGTGACCTGATTCTTGTATTTAAACATGAATTAACTGCCAAGGTCAATGATACTTCCCTCTCTTCAGCATTATTTTATCCCAGCCGCTAAAAGTCTCATCATAGTTTAAAGTACCTAAAGTGCGGTCAAATTAACCCTAATTATTAACCCTAACCCAATTAACCCTAACCCAAACTAACCCTAACCCTAACCCTAACTCACTCTTTGATGTGTGCTAGCAGTGATCCGAGATGAAATTTTGGACTGGGATTCATCTACCAGCGCTACGGCCAATTTGCCACTATCACACTTGTACAGTCAGTGATGGTAGCCATAAAAAGTAAAGCGCTGGATGTTGGAAAGCCCTGAGGTGGATTTTAACCCAGATTGGATTACTGTCCACTCCTTCAGCGTCAGTCAAGCTTTAGCCTCACTGTACACTGCATTGACCTCTTAACCTCAGAAGAGATATCAGACCAGGGTGGTTTTATTCTGAGCAAAGTGACCTGATTCTTGTATTTAAACATGAATTAACTGCCAAGGTCAATGATACTTCCCTCTCTTCAGCATTATTTTATCCCAGCCGCTAAAAGTCTCATCATAGTTTAAAGTACCTAAAGTGCGGTCAAAACCTGTTAACCTGCAACCCCATTTTTGAAAAATCCCCAGATATGGCATTCCCAAACTGAAACAGATACAGTTCATGAACCCTTTGTACTAAAAGCACAAGTAAGATCTCATTTGAAAGCTGACACCTGGAAGTTTATTGTAAAGGTAGAATTAATTATTGTCATAATGAAAAAAATAGTTATAAATAGCTTCAAAGTTTTGTAAAGTTATTATACATTTATTTTTATGAAACATATTCATGAAAATAAAATTGAAGTTGGCATTGTAGCAATCTAGAAATGCACTGCAGCTAAAGCCACATGTCTGGCCATGTTATATTTAAAATCTGAAGATGATAAGTCTAAAACTCTGTATTTAGTTCAATGTTTTTCAAGATCATGTCATATGACTTTATTTTGATTAGACTGGGGTTTATTGTCATCTTATAAGCATCTATTCAGTCTATTGCCTCTATTGTTTTGTGATGCAAAAACGAGCCCCATTCAGTCTCAGTCTCCCCTGCACATATTCACACCTCTCCACCCTGATTATTGCTCTAAATATGCTTTTCTTTTGTCTGCATTATAATCACTAACGACTAGCAATTCACAATGTTTCAATCCCTCATTTCTTTTATAAAAGTTCTCACTTCACAGTGAAACTGTATCAAATGCCCTTTTTGAAAAACGAAACATTTCAGTAAGCATTCTTATTTAGAAAAAAAAATCATAAAAATTACACCGAAGTTAGGTAGCAGGTGCTCAGTACTAGCTAGCATGTTAGCTTAGCACACCATCAATACACGACAATTTATGAGAATAAAACTATGTTTGTGCTCTAAACTTACTTTATAGCGCAAGTCGAGTGTTTTAAATAACTTTCTGTAATCTGATTTGGCTTCAGATAAAAAAATCAGATAGAAAATATATTATTTTATTGTATTCTGCACAATTTGAAAGTCTATCTCGATTAGCATTACATTATACATATAATCTATTATTATGAAAATACCTGACATGACTCGAAGAACACAGGTAAATCAAATATCATTGCAATCATGTTTATTGTCTTCAAAACATCTTTATCTGCACTTTACAGCGATCTCGGATAGCTTTGTTTATGTATCAGGACTTCCTGAATGTCACATGATTATGGCTCTTCTTCATGTGATCCATATATGGACTTTACTGTGCAACAGCGCCCCAGACTTCAGTATGAATGGATAACTCAGTACATCAGAGTATACAGCGCTCAAAATGATTACATCGACGCATTTGGGTATAAATTCAATAAATATTATTCCTGTCTATAGAAATCTGATGTAAACCTATGATAATCTATCAATATTTCTCCAAATCTGCACATGTTTGAGCTAAAAGCCCTGAGGGACGTTGTTTTGTGAATCGCTGTCATGACGATCGCACGGGAGTTTTTTTCTGAATGAGAGCAGCTGACGCACATAATTCATATTAAAGGTAACGACTCATTTTTTAATTTCATAACTCCTGACACAAATCAAGACATAACTGTCACTATAAGTTTCTCAGAATACAATAGTGGTCAAATACTGAAACTTGAGTCTTATATCGTTTTAATGATGTATAGTTTGTCAAGTTAATAACATTAAATATGATAGTAACTTTGAACTATTTAAAAAAAAAACGCTTCAGAGCGCCCACGCACTGGTGACGGTTAACAGGTTAAAAACACATCTCCATTGGTCTGTTTTATGAACAAGTGTGTGTTTGAACAAACTGTATTAGTCAGGACAGAGTACAGCTTATTGAGTTTAGTTCTAACATTAGTACTAATGTAACGGATGTCTGTAAATGTCTAAATGTGTAAATGCCACAAGAACAAGCTCTACAATGTTTCCAAACAAATGTCATCCATTGCCCAAGGCATTGAGAGAGGTCATTACCAAGCCTTCAGATCAGCAGAGCACATAAAATGTTTGAGTGCTTCTGTGGAGGAAAAAACTAAATCTATAAAGCAATGTCACATGCCATGCTTAAGAGGACCCACCCAAGTTCATCTCTGATAGTAGGAATAGAACGGAGTACTCGATTTTTACATTTTATGAGGAAAAAAGCCAGTGCAAAACTCACCACTACGATATTAGTGTTGCAGGTGGTTTGGTTTGGTTAATGTTTTTAAAACAGTTTTATGTGGTTGTTTGGGTTTAATTCTACCTAAGAAACATCATCAGTATTCTTTCCATTCAAAGTCTAGAACCAAAGTTTGAACCACACAGATTGTATTTGAACATAGGCTACAATTTTTTTTGTTAATATTTTTTCAGCTGTTACTCTTTAATAAAAATTATTTTACACCTGCATCCCTTATGAACTTACAATAAAGTTCAAGCTACTGCTACTGTCAACACAAGCTACTGTCAATTGTGCATTTCCAAGAGATTCATCTCTGCAGCATGAACACCTTGGATGAGTAACACACCAAAGTTCTAGTTTTAGGAGTTTGTTCAAGTTCCTAAACATAATTATGAGCGATAGTAATAGTGATGCTTGCCATAGCAAACACCACTTATGTAAAAGCTTCTCACTAGGGGTGGGAATCTCTTTTTGGTACCTCGAGATTTGATTCAAATCAATTCTTGGTCACAATTGATATCGATATTGATATTGATATATGCATTGATTTTATTGTTTTGCATTACTTTTCTTATTTGACTGTGGTAAACAGTTGAATGGGTCTTGAAGAAAAAAAGTCCCACTGAATTAAATGTGAAGCTTGAAATGTATCTAGTTTTTCTTGCCATTTTAGTAAACCCAATATTATTATTAAGCTGACTGCAATCATTACACATGACTGGCAGTCTTCTGTAATAAAGCAAGGCAGGCCATTTTATTTTATTTTTATATTAAAAATAGGAAAAAAGCAACAAATTACAAACAATAGAACAAATACAATAGAAAAAAAACTAATTAAACTAAGTTTTTCAGGTACAGTAGCATTATTTAGTAAGAAAACTACAGAAATGGTATAATAAAATGTAAAAATAAAACACTGTAGTCTTTCACTGTATGAATTAAATATAAATTGATTCATATTAAAGATACAAAAGTGATTCAGTCAAAAGCAGCAAGTGATTTTTTTTATTAACATTAATAAAACAGACGACAACAGTTATGAGGCTTATGTCCCTTTAAGAATGAATGCACGGATCTAATATACTGTTACGCACACACGGGGCATAACAGACTGTGTTTACACGAATACTCCACACGATGTGCATTTTTACATTATTGTGTGTGTATTTGACCATGCAAGCACAAAAAGCTTAGCCTGACGTCGTCATACTCAGATTCTAGTCAGAATGTGAGTCTGATACTGCTCCATTGGGCTGTGATTATGGGGCGTGTTTCAACCGAACTAGGAAAGAAAATGCCTCTGGACTCAATTGGATCGATAAATGC